CCTCCTCTCTCCTCATCCGTACTCCTCCTCCGCCCCCCTCCTCCCTCTACTCCTACTTCCTACTCCTACTACTACTCCTACTACTGCTATTCCTCCTCCTCCCCCTCTTCCTTTTCCTCCTCCACCTCCTCCTCCCCCTCCCCCTCCTCTTCCCTCCTCCTTTTCCTCCACCCTGAGACAATACAGACACTACTCTCCCTCCCCCCCCAGAAGTGTTCCAGACGATATCACGCGCCATCCGCGTGCTGTCAGCTATTTACATAATGATTTCAACCATTGAGATTCCCTTTTGAGCTTTGCAATTCGTTGTTGTTCGATGTTTCACAAGGGTGCTCCCGCTGCAGCGTGGGCCTCGTTGTTGGATCGGCGCGATGCTCAGGTCGTTCAGGGTGGCGCTTACGCCCCAGCACAGGCCTCTTCTGGATCCGAGTCTTGCCTCATCGTGACCCACCCCCCGAGCGTTCCCCCCCCTCCATGTTTCCCTGGTCCTCCTGTTTCTCCCGCTCCTTCCACTCCAGTCTTGCTGCTGCTGTTCGTCTCACCCCAGCGCGGGCTTCTCTTCTGAATCAGAGTATCTCTTCATGTTGCCGCCCCCCTCATTTCCCCTCCTCCGCCGCCCCCTGGTCCTCCTTTCCCTCCTGATACTTCCGATTGAGTTCCTGCCGCTGCTGTTTGTCTTCACCCTTCTCTTCCTGCTTCTCCTCCTGCTCACCCGCCGCCTTCTTCTCCTGTGCACGCAGCTCCCCTGTTTTCCCGATCGCGCATAACACGAAGTTGCCGTTCTGTGTGAGTCGCAGGTCGGCCATGACACGCGTCCGCGGATACAGCAAACTCAGCGCCATGGGAAAGCATGGGAGGGCGGGATGGAATGTCAGGTGAGGCGCGAGCGCACCTAGCTTGTCCTCCTCCTCCTCTTCCTCCGTTCTCCTCCTCAACCGTATTCCCGATGCAGGGAGTGATGAGCCTCATGGCCATAAAAGTTTCTACCGACGTTGTCTCTTGAGGGGGTTCAACTCCGTGCCGAAGCGAGCCCAAAGGGCCACATTGGTCAGGGGTCCCGCGGGAGTTCCATCTGTCTTGCCTAGTCCCTAACAGCAGAGCCGAGTCCCCCTCTACCTGAGGTTAGGATTCACCAACTGCCAATGCTTCCAGCTTCTCCTCCTCCATCCTCCTCCTCCGCCCGTCGTCCTCCTCTTCCTCCTCCTCCTCCTCCTCCTCATCCTCGTCCATTACATGCGGCGCCATGAAGCATCCAGGTCTGCCAGACGGGGTCCGAGGAAAAGGGGGAAGAGGACCGCGTCGCGTCGCCGATGTGTCTGCGATGTGGTTTGATGTGGAATCTGACTTTGTCCACGCCGATGCCACCGAGTGCGGGAAGGAAACGGGGTCGATTGCGCCGGCATTGGCGCGTAAGCATCAGGGCGCGCGCAAGCGCGCTCGTGTCCAATGTGGCGTGCCGCACTGGCGGCCCGCGTAAGCCATAGCTGTGTCATTTTGCGTAAGAGCAGTTTTTGTTCGTCGTTCACGCGTGCATATCCCATGCATCGGCGATGCGGCGCAATTCTCCGACCCCATCCACTCGGACCGCAGTTGGGAGGCCTCCTACACACGTCGCCATGAAGCGACCGGGTCCTGAGGAGACGGGCGCCAGGCTTCCAGTTGCCTTTCTCGGCCTCTGCGGCCGTCCATGGGCGCAGGGCCGTCAAAAGATGGCTCGGCATGGGGAGCTTGTCCGGTCCGGGGGGGTAGGCTCTGGGGTCCAGGGCCCGCTTCCCGCAGGACCCGCTCTCAGGTCTCCGACGGCATGATTCGTGGCGCCCGGGCGCTGTTCTTCGACTTGGGCCCTTGGGGGCCCGTTGTCGGGCCCAGGGGGGCCAGGGGCCATCGGGAAGGGATCCCGGGTTACACACTGGCCCCAGGGAGGAGGCCAGGGCCTCAGGGGTCGCGGATCGAGAAAGTCAGGTCGTCACGTCGTCGGATGTCGGGGAGTTGGTCCAGTCCCAGCGGGAAGCTCCGAGGTCCCGGACCAATTCCCCTCAGGACCCGTTGGATTCATGCCGAATGCGCCATGATGGTTGAGGTTGATCGTGTCTCCTCCTCCTCCTCCTCCTCCTCCTCCTCCTCCTCCTCCTCCTCCTCGTCCTCCTGCTTCAGCTGGCTTCTAGAGGGCTCCAGGTTCCGTCATGGCACGGGCCAAGGCCATCATCTCCCCTGTTAGTTTTCGGGTCCTCCTTACAGGCCCTTGTGCCCCCGTAGGAACCAGTCTTGTCTCTTCCGATTTGTTTGGGGCCCGGGATGGCCCCGATCAGATTCCGCTGTCTTTGTCATCCTCTCGGGCTGGGGCTCGGGGCAAGCATATATCGCGTTCGTGTAAAGCTCAAGTTGTGATTTTGCTGGAACAGCGTAGTCGGGAGGACCTCGATCAAGCCTCGGTCTGGGCCGTCCGTCACGTGTGGGGAAGTCTCTGGAGTCTTAGGTTTCCTGGTCTTAAAGACGGGACTAGAGGTGGCCTTGGCATCGTTCGGACGTGCGCATTGTTTGTCGGCGAGGACCCTCGAGGTGCATCTTGGATCACCTAGTACAAGAGGCACGCACGAAACCGAAGCATGCACGGGGAATGGACGTCCGAGCGATGGCAAGTGGCGTTGCGGTTCTTGTGAGGGCGTTTCTCGGCCTGCGTCTTTTCAGGGATTGCAATCTCTGCATTGGGCTTGTTCTCGGATGTTCACCCCCCGCCAAGCCACCACAACCCAACCCGAAGGCCCCAACTTGCCCTTCATTCCCAGTGGGGGGGTGTCGGAGGACACTGAACGAAAACACGTGCGGAACCCGTAGTTCCCCCCAAAAACCTGAAATTCGAGTCTTCGGGTTATGCTGGGGTGGTCTGGTAGGTCGTCTGATGCGTGGTCCAAGTTTCAGGGGGTACTGCTATTGCGGTGTCAAGTGATTACCTCCAGCATGGTATAGTTCTTCAGTGGCGATAGTGCCGATGGCATGCAATCCGTGTGCGAGTTCGTGTAGGCTTCGGGGTTACCATGGCTCGTGGAGGGAGAGTGAAACCTGGAACCAGCTCAGTCTCATGATTATGTGTTGTAGGACGTCGCTCGTGGCAAGCTTCGCACCTGTCCACCACGCGCGGGATGCGCCTCGATGACTATTTCCTGCTGAGTCGCGGCTTTAGCAGGACTGCCCGAGCGGCCAAGCGGTCGCCGTGGATGGAGATTCGTTAGCCTGGGGGTTGTCTACAGAAACGCTGGGGGCGAAAAAGATAACAACCAGGGGGGAGGGAGGACAGCTCGAAACGAAATATTCAGAATTACGTTTTTGCCCGAAGACTTTGCGTGACAAACTCAAAATGATGTGTTTGTTGTTTTTGTTGCCCAGAAGGGCTGGAAACGTGCCATTGTGTGTATGATGTTGTTTTTTCTTTGGTTGTCGGAAGGCTGCGCAGCGCTCGCCCGTTCGCCTCCCTCTTTTCCTTCAGCTGGCGTCGCTGAGGGCCGTGGCTTTCGTGAGGCCACCGCGGACTGGCCTGGATCGCATGGTGCGGCATGCGCCTGCCCCATCTGCTGAACCCGACCGTCCAAGGTTCACTCGGCCCTGTCCCGCCAGAGGAGGAATGGTAAAACGAATCGTCAAAAAATGTCAGGGGACTATTTGTTGAGTACTGTTGACAATGTTGGAGTCTGTTTTGACTATGTTTCATTTTTCGCAGAAAATCTGCCTGTGAGGGGACACGCCCGACCTACGTCGAAGGTGGGATCTGCAGGCTCCACATCACGAAGCCAGGTCGGGGAAGGGCCAGGACACTTTGGATAACCTCATTCCGTTTTATGGGTCCTGGGCCGATCCTGGTGCACGAGCAACGCGAGCGCGCCCGGGAGCAGCCCACCCACCCTTCTCAGACACATAACCCTGCTAATGGGGGGGGTGCGTGCGCATTGCTTGCCAACATTATTTCGTTCGTTAGCTTTGCCTATCTCTCCCTCTCTCTCTCTCTTTCTCTCGGCCTAGCGTTATAGAGCGTTCTCTCGTTATACATATATATATATATGTATATATATGTGTGTGTGTTCTCTCTCTCTCTCCATCTCTCTCTCTCCCTGCCACTTCCCCCACATGTCCCTGCGCCCCCACCGGCGTCCAGCGGCCCCACAAGGGTCGAAAACGTCAGTTCATGTCGGTACTCGATGCTCCAAGCTTGATCGTCGGATGACACACCTACTATGTTGGTTAGTGCCGTTCCTCTTTAATCTGGGCGGGGGGGGGGCGAACTCGAGGAATTCCGATCCTCTTTCGCGTGCGGCTCGAAGCAAATATCAAACACGGAGCGCGGGAAGAGCGGAAGGAACGAAGAACAGAACGGACCAGGGAGGGGAGGGAGGGAAAACGGGGAGGACGAGAGGCAGGGAGCTCGAATCTCAACTTGTTTGCACCCCCCGGTGGCCTCTGGAGGCCTCCATGCAGATGTCCAGAGACTTTCGGCCCCAGGCACGGAAGGAAGGGAGGAGGGCAGAGGCCATTGAGGGATGGCAGAGAGAATGGCACGTGGACGTGGCCTGCGCGATGGTCGGTTCACTTTTCTCCTCCCTCCCTCCTCCTGCAGTAAGGAAGAGGAGGGTGGAGGCAAAGGTGGGAGGGAGGAATGGCGAGGGTTAGGCTGATCTGGGTGGTTATACCGGGGTCTGAGGGGTCTGAGGGGTTCGTGGTGTCGTCCCTGCTCGCCTCAGCGCTGCATAGTCAAGGATGCCCGCTATCTGCTGCTTACATCCACCAACTTCAACTTCATCGGAGGTTGATAGACCTCCTACCCTGGCACGTCGATCAGCGCATTGGCCGTTTTCGGTTCACGAGAGGGCGTCGCGATTGGCAGGTCCGTCGGTTTCGGTCCTAGGCCGTTTTCATTAAAGGGTGGTTTATTAGAGAGAGATTTGTCCACCGCCGATTTCATTTTGGAAAGAAGGAGGAGCAGGAAGCTTATGAGGGAAGACGCGTGCGAGGTCATCAGACTCGCGGCTGAGGGGACCATCAACACGGGCGCGCCGCCCCGCGTACCTCCTCCTCCTCCTCCTCCCCCTCCTCCTCCTCCTCCTTCTCCTCCTCCTCCTCCCCCTCCTCCTCCTCCTCCTCCTTCTCCTCCTCCTCCTCCTCCTCCTCTTCCTCCTCGTCCTCCTTCTCATCTTGCTCCTCCTCCTCCTCCTCCTCCTCCTCCTCCTCCTTCTCCATTGTTTCGGTAGCTCTTCCAGCGGAGAAGGGGGATGGTCGGGAGGGACACGGACATGTACAAGGGCGTCGAGCCCGTTATGCCAGGAAGGCAGCATAATAGATGGGGCAACCACAGACGAGGTAGTCATGGCTACAGCGGATGCCAGCCGACGTAATGGTTTGGCATCTCCCGACGTTGCGAAAACCACGATGGCTCGTTTCTGTATCACAATGTACCACAGTTGCAGTTCTCGGTGTGGTCTGCGTCATGTGCCGTGTTTGTTTGTGGTTGTCTGTGCGGTGTGGTGTGTGTGCGCGTTGCGCGGTTTCGTGAACGTCCTGGCGCGTGTCGTGCGCACAGTCCGCAGTGCATTTCAATTGGCACCACTTGTGTCGCATGTTGTCCCGTGTGTTGTGTGCGCCGTGTGTTTGGTGCCGTGCGTCGCGTGCGTGGTGCCATGCGCGCGGGGGCTGACCATGCCGACGGAGGATGAGTTTGTCAGTTGCCATGGCTATGGCGCGGCAGGTGTTCAGTGCTCCGGCACTCGGGCGTTGGCGCAGCGGAGAAACCCACGGGGCAACGGGGCGCCTACCTTTGATTCGGGCATGTCCATGTACAGGAGGAATATGCAAGAAATAGTTGAAACAAAAAGTCTGGGGACGATGTTTCTATGATTGTGTTTACTATATGTCTTGCTTTTTTGAGTATGCTGGATCCGTCGTCCGCAATCTGCCTGCAGGGGGACATGCGCGACCTGAGCCTGCCTTGTCTCGGTGTCCGATGGGCGGGATGCAGGACTCGGCCACCCGCGGCTGGGCGCGAAGATCGTTGCGCGTCGCGGCCAGGGCCAGAGCGGTGGACCTCCTCCAGGGGGGCGGCCCGAGGGCGCGAATGAGCAGCGCCGGGCACGGTGCGCGGAGCCGCGCGACCTGAGGAAGACGCCGACGCGGGGCGGCCCATGCGCTCGTGAGGACCAGCGCGTGGATCTGCGCGGTGTCCCTCGCGTGGTGGGCCTGTTTTCCGACACCACCACCAATAAGTTGAAGGGGGAGGGGGCTCTCCTCCTCTCCCTCCTCCTCCTCCTCCTCCTCCTCCTCCTCCTCCTCCTCCTCCTCTTCGTCCTGCTCCTCTTCGTCCTCCTCGTCGTCCTCCTCCTTCCCCCATCCAGCTTCTGGTGGTGGTGGTGGTGGTGGAGAGCAGGCCCACCACTCGAGTCGATCATCCCAGGACGTGCGTTGGCCCAACGTTTGCGTGCGTGGTCCCGTGTGCGAGTGTGGGCGTGTGAAGCATTGTGAGGGAGTCTCTGTTGAAACGATGGCCAGACCGGGCGTCTCTGGGCTCCTTGTGTGTGGGGGGCGTTTCTGCTGCCTTCTCCTTACCGCAGTCAGGATTTTCCAGCGAAGTGCGATTCGCTGCAAACGTTCGAAGGTCCGCCTGGTGTCGCGCGAAGGCCGCCCGCTCTCTGGCAATCACCCGCCTGGCCTTCCCTGAAGGCGTGAGCTCGGAGCGAGGCTCGGGGATTCGCGCGTAGTCCTCGGAGCGACGCCGGCCCCCCCTGGCGGCCCCTGGTGCGCCGCCCCTCCTGCGCCGCCCCTGGCGCGCTCCGCGAGCCGCAGGGTTCCATCGGCCCCACGTCGTGTGGCCGCTGACCACGCGCAAGTCCTCCTCAGCCTCCAGCGTCGCGCCAGGTGGCCGAAGAATTCACAATCGGCACAACCGTGCATTTCCGAAGGTCCGCGCGGACTCCCTGGAGCGGCGCTGGACCCCACTGGCGGCGCCTCCTGCGCCGCCCCTGACGCGCTCCGCGTGCCAGGGAGGGGGGTCCAGCACCGATCCAAGAAGTCCGTGCGGACCTCCGAGGGTGCATGCCTATGCAGTTGTTTGCTCTTCGCTCTGTGCGAGCTGCGGGTCGGCTCGCGACTCGCCATCGAGGGGGCTGCGCCTCTCCGCTGACCGCAAAGCAAGAGTGAGCAGGAGGGGGAGGAGGAAGGGCAGCAGTGGCACTTTTCCGCCCCATGACATTTACGGGTGGCGCTGCTGCCGACTGCGAAAGTGTGGAGACGACGGCGCGTGTACATGTGTCGGCTTGACCACAGTGTTCGCATGTGCGCGTGTTTGCTGCCTGCCTCTGGCGTTGTGATGGAGCCAGTGAGGCGGCTTGTGCTGATGATCCGAACTGCACGTCTCGAGGGAGTTTCAGTGGTTGTCAGTCGTCTCCTGCAGTAGGGGTCGCACAGGGCTCTCGGAGCGTCCTGGATGCCTTTGGAGGCTCCAATAGGCTTTTAGTATCTGAAGGGTCTTGCCAGGGCATCTTGAGGGCTGGCTGGTAGGCGGGTCGCCTCGGGTCCCTTTTTGACACGGGGTCGTTTGAGCGGTGGCTTGGAGTCCCTCTTCGGAGGGCACAGACTGCTGTCTGGGCGTCTCGTCGGGCCAAGAAGACTGGGTCGCCGAGAAGTACCACTAGAAAGACTTGCACATGTTTTTAAGGTGTGTGTATGTATCTGCTCAGGTCTCGTCAGTGGTTTGTCTTTGGACGCGTATCACAAGTGTCTGTAGCATTATGTTGACACGTCCATGGGAGGCCAGCTTCAGGCTCTGGGCCGTCAGAACCACCGAGGGCAAAATCTATTCCACGGGATGGGGCGGGCAAAGCTTGACGTGCGAGTCGCAGACGGCGTTTGAGCTTGCAGCGGAATTGTCATCATCGTCATGCAGTATATACAAGCCGAAGACAATACGCACGCTTAGGATATGCGACACTAACATGTAGCAGAGTTCAAGCAGAGGTCCTGGGGTTCGGCGCCAGGCCAACGCAACCTCTGTTTCAATGTGCTTGTCGTTGGGTGTCCAGGCTAGCAGTCACGCGCGGCGGTGGTACAATTTGGGATCGTGCTTTCCATTTCCTCCTCCATAGAAGACCGTCGATACAGCCACGTGGTAATTCTTCACGCTTCGCGTATCCCCACCAGCCCATCTCAAAACAGCAATTCTAGCGAAGCATGCCGACAGTCGTGTTTTTCAGGCGTGTTTCCGCCTGCCCCCGCATATCTCCCCTGTTCGTTCGGGCTTCTCGTGGTGTGAGTTGTTCGGGCCCCTCGTCCTGGTGTGAGTCGTTCGGGCCCCTCCTCCTGCCCGTCCAGAAACGACGCCCAGGCGAGTAGAGGGTCGTCCTGATGGGCTTTTCGGCGTCTTGGGTGCCTCGGGGGGGCCTCTTTGGGCCGTTTGGGATCCTCTTGGGGGCCTCCTGGGGGCCTCTTGGGGCCATCTTGGGGCCTCTTGGTGCCTCCTGGGCGCTTCTTGGGGCCATCTTGGAGGAAATCGATCAAAGAAGAGGGGAGCTTTAATTAGCGCTGCCCCCTCAGAAGGCCAAAATGGGGCCAAAACCTTAGTAAAATCAATGATTTTGGCTTGAAAGAAGAGGGGAGCTTTAATTAGCGCTGCCCCCTCAGAAGGCCAAAATGGGGCCAAAACCGTAGTAAAATCAATGATTTTGGCTTCAAAGAAGAGGGAGCACTTTTCTGCCTCCCCCCGTCGGGGCCAGAATCCTCGTGAGGGGTGTCGTTTTTTAGCCCTCCCAGGAGTCGAAAAAGACCCCTCCAACGACCCGCGGGGCGCCCTCTCCAGGCCCAGGGGGAGGGGGTAGGGGGAGGGGTAAACCCCTCCCCGAAGGGGAAGAAGGGGGGTTGAGAACAGAGAGAGCTCTCTAAACCACTCACGCCCAAAGGGCTGGTGGGATTATGAGGGCATTCGCCGGCCACGCGCATAGTGGTGTAGGGGGAGGGGGGAAGGCTGCTTAGAAGCACTTCTGCTTCTTAGAAGGCGCGGGCCTTACTTCTAGATGTCAGGCCGGCGCCCTCTGAGAAGCAGCCTCCTTCTGCGTAGCTTTCCTGCCCCCCTCTGCCCCCTTTGCGCGCGCCGCCAGATTCGCTTGCCCGTCCAGCGAGCACTCTGCCAGCTGCTCCCACGCCCAGCGAGCACATCCGCAGCGGCCCACCCCACCCCCGCGCGCAGAATCGCGTGTGTGGTCTTGTCTGCCAGAAGAGGAGCGCCTTTCTGTTCCCGCCGCTTCCCGGACGGCTTGCGGCGGGGGGAAGCATGAATATCGTTGCGATCGATGTCTGTACGAAGACTAACAGCATGTCCTGGTCATTTTGAACAGGACTCGCAGTCGGCGTCGCCGCGGACGTTGTCCATTTGAGACAGAAAGCCGGCTGCCCAACAGCGGCCGCTGTCGTTTTTGGGCAACATCTGTTGTTGGACATCGTACACATTTGTCCATACCAGCTCGAGTTTCCAAAGAATAGGAGGAGTATCGGGCGGTGCCAGGACGAGGATAAATCCGTTCCAGAGTGTTCCAGAAGGCTCTCGGAGCCTTCCGGAACGCTCTGAGAAGGCCGCGGCGCCCGAGACATCCTCCGAGCCGCCAGATCTCAGAGATTCTCGATTTGTCACCATCCGAATTCATCCTCGTCCTGGCGTCGTCTCAGGCTGGGACGCGAAGGCAGATCGGGGGAGGCTGAAGGTGCCCCTGGCCAAAGGCGCCCCCAGCTGTTCGCGCTTTACCCTTGGGAATCATGGGGTCCCCCTTGGGCCAGGGGCACCTCTGGCAACACCCGAGAAGAGGGGATGCAAGAACCCTGTATCGGGTGGTGCTGGAAGTGCCCCTAGCCCGAGGTGCCCTCAGGATTTCCAAGAAGGCCCCCACTGCCTCCAGCGCACCCCTCACGAGGCCCAGAGGGCCCAAAGGGGATCCAACATCCGGCGAAAAGCTGGGGGGCACCTCGGGCCAGGGGCACTTGGCGCAACCCCTGGCGGAAGGAAGGCGCGGTGGTGAGCACAGTGCTGGCCACGGGAGAGGTGTGCATACGTTGTGTTTCGTTTTGTGTTCGTTTTGCTTGTCGTTTTGCTCGACGTGTTTTCCTGTACCTCCCTGTTAAAACGAGAACGAAAGCACGGCCGATGTTCAGTTAAACAGCGTTTAGGTCCAGCCCTGGAGTGGATGGAGTCGCCAGCTTCGTGCTTCTGCGCGGAGGCTGCTGCACTCGTGGAATATGAACGTAACGTGCTTGGCGACTGCTGGGACACGTCGCCAGATGGAAGCGGATACGAATTTCAGGATTTAGTCATTCCGCCAATGCCCAGGGGCGCTCTGGGCATTGCCGAGAGACAGCGAGGAAATAAGCGTGAAAGACGAGAGTATGGAGAGCAGGAGTTACAAGAAGGAGGTGGAGAAGGGAGACGGGGGGACGAAGAGAGAGACGGAACGAGGACGAGGTGGAGGAGGAGGAAGAGGAGGAGGTGGAGGAGGAGAAAGGGACGGTGAGTGGGGTTGGAGGGGGAGGTAGGGGAGGGGCAAGGGGCGAGGCATTGGGGGGAAGGGGAGGGTCGGGGGAGAAGGGGGGGGGAGAGAGAGGGGGGGGTCAAGCCAAGTGCGCTCGCGCCATACCTTGCATCCTGCCCTTCCGCACCCGTCCCGTCCCCTTGCGCTGATCTTCCATACCCGCAGACGCGTACAGTGGCGGACTGGGAACTCCCCGAAAGACCCCACGGTGTGTCGCACAGTCGGAAAAAAGGGGGACTGCGCACACAGGGGGGGGGGGGGGAAAAGACAGAGGGGTAGGAGGAGGAGGAGGAAAAGGAGGAGGAGGAGGAGGAGGAGGAGGAGGAGGAAGGGTGGTGGTTGAGCAGGACAAACAGCAGGAGGAAAAGGAGGTCGATGAAGGACGAGGACGAACACCAGCGGCGGGCATTGGAGTGGAAGGAGCGCAGGGAAAGGCGGAGGAGGGGAAACGAGGGGGGTGGCAACGAGGAGGAATGACCCGGATCCGGAAGAGTGGCCCGCGCTGGGTCGGGAGCGCCAGTCGGAACGGCGGGAGCACAGCGCCCCAGTCCTAAATGGAGGCCAGCGCCGCAGCGGCAGCACCATTCTGAACCGCCGAGGAAGCGTTCCGAAGGGGAGAAGCACGGGAGAGACCCCAAAGATGGAAAGCCGGGCCTCGTGAGGGGTGCCCTGGAGGCCGCCTGGGCCACCCCGAGAATTTTGGGGGTGCCTTGGGCCAGGAGTACTTCTAGCAACACCCGAAGATTGGGTAATCGTAAGGGGGGTGAGGGGGGGGCGGGAACGGAGGTGGTACGGAGCATTGCGAATGAACCGACGGCGGAAGTCAAGCAAGCGGTGGGAGCAAGACGAATCGCACGAGCCCGAAACCTGGCCTCTCTGGGTCCCAGAGGCGCCTTGGGACAAGCCCGCGCACCAGGGGGGGAAAGCCGTGCAGGTGAGAGGGAGGGGGAGGGGAGAGGAGAGGGGAGAAGGAGGGATAGAGGGAAGAAGGGGAGAGTGGAAGGGGGGAAAGAAGGAGGGATAAGGGGGGAAGGGGAGAGGGGAGGGGGGGAGAGGGAGGGATGAGGAGAGTCGAGATTCGAATCGGATCGAGCTCCGGGGGGCACTGGCTTCGTCTGATCACGTGAGATGCTTGGGCATCACCTGGCAATTCGCATCTTTACGACGTCTCGTATGCAACTTCTCGGCGCCCTGGGGACCCATCGTGGGACGTTGCAGTCCTGCCGCGCGTGCAGCAGCAAGAGAGTCGAGAGGGAAGAGGCGGAGGGGAGTTTGACCGTCGAGGAAGCACACACGTTGATCAGGGCCAGTCGATTAGCGACGGGTCGCGCTTCCGTGTGGGATGAGCGCGCCCCGTCGCCAGGTGCGGCGGCATCGGCCCCGTGCTTCGGGGGGTATTCCCCGATCAGTGGACGGGCGCCCACGCGCCCGATCCACGGATTCCTGATCCACGTCACCGCGTGCCCGAGGTAGAAAGGGCAGCCGCAGCGGTCGGAGCGGTACGGGGAAGAGGAGCGCAGCCAAGACCAGTTGTCAGGGGGATCACGTTTTGCTAGACGCCCGCGTATCCTTGATTGGACCTTCGTGCTTGTTTTTTTCTCCAGACTCTATAGGAGTTCTACTCAAACCCTACTGATTTGTCCGTTGCCCCACCCCCCAGTCCTATGCCCCCCTCCCAATTCCTATGGCAATGCCTATGCCTATGCCTCCACCCCAACTCCTATGCCTACGCCTATGCCCATGCCTGTGCCTATGCCTATTCTCCAACTAGGCTTGTTCTATAGAAGTCCTAGCTCATCATACGCAATTGGTCTTTGGCACCCCCCCCCCTGTTTCCAGTGCCCCCCCCCCCTTATTTCTAATGGCCCCCCCCTAGCTATTTCCAATGGCGAGTCCTATGGATTCCTATGTATTCCTATGAGTCGCTTGCCCTTGTTTGCTCTTGCGCGCTCTTGTTTGCTTGCTCTTTTGTGCTTGCTATCGCTTGCTTGCCCTTGCTTGCCCTTGCTTGCTTGCACTCAATCGCTGGCTCTTGCTTGCTTGTTACTGCTCGCTTGCGCTTGCTTGCTTCCGCTTGCTTGATTGCGCTTGCTTAATTTTGCTCCTCCCGTCCTGCGCCCGTCCTCCTTTCGTTCTCCTCACATCCTCCTCTCGTCCTCCTCCTGTCCTCCTATCTACACGGAGTCAACGCTGGCTGATATGCAGAGTAGTCCCATGCACGGATGGGCTCCAACAGATGTTGATTCTCCGCTTCTTGTTCTTTCTCTTCCTGCTCCTGCCTTTCCTTCCTCATCCAGACCCATCCAGCATCCCCCATCCTCCTCCCCCATGCCTTCTCCTTAAAGCGAACTCCTCCATGTTGAACCCCGGGCGTCTCGGTAGGAGGCCGGGCATTCCGCCTGACATTTAACCACCAAGTGTAATCCTCAAGTTTGAAGTTTGCATCAGTTTCACGAATGAAGGGGTGTGTGATTCAAAATTTTGTTTTCGCCTTAGCGTTGCGCGCACACGTTTTTCAATTTCTGCAACAACTTCACGAATGGTTCGGGGGTTCAAACTTTGATTCTCGCCTTAGCGCAGAACGCATTCGTCTTCAAAGTTTGCATCAGCTTCACGGTTGGAGCACCGGCAATTTTAAACATGTGATTCTCGCTTCTGCACCGCCTACATTCCGTTCAAAAGCTTGCATTCGTTTCACCGATGGAATGGGGGGTGGTTCTCGCCTCAGTTCCGCGCACATTCGTCTCAAAGTTTGCAACAGTTTCACGCATGAAGGGCGATAATTGTTTTCCAATGTGTGGCTCTTACCGTAGCGCCGAGCACATTTGTCACCGAAGCTTGCAACTGGTTCACGGATGGCGTTGCGCCGCGCACATTCGTCATCACAATGCAACAGTTGGCGAGGTTGAAGATTGTTGTTATTCAGAATTATGTTCTCGCCTGAGACTTGGTTGAGCACCTACCGTTGCTGGGATCCATGGCGGCATTGTGGCAACATGGAGTTCGCTAGTGACGTTCTCGCAGTGCATGGCCATAGAGGTAAATTCGTGCAACAGCTAACGGGATGGGGGGGGCCATTCTTCGAATGGAGAGGATCTTTGGACATTTCGCTGAGTTGTATGATCATTGTTTTCCCTCGCGTTCCTGACTCCGCGCGCGGAGGATGCAAGGCAGTTCCTTCGCCAAAATGACAGGCCCAACCGTGATGTTTTTTTTCACGGGGGCAAGACTTCCGGTGAGCAGAGGGACTTGTAAGGTCGTATGACGAGGGGGTTTTGGACGGGAGGGTGTGTTGCAGCATCGCTGATGTTTGTTGGGGTTTACTCTGGTCCTCCTCCTCTTCCCGTGACCCCACCAACCAAAGTCCACCAAACCGAGCTCTGGGCCTCCCCCCGGGGAGACCATCCTCTGGCCGGTGATTGTTTTGGTGGAGGTGTACAGGCCGAGGCCGAAGTTGAACTACAGTCAACCCGCAGAGTAAGGATTGGCATCCTTCCCAAGGGTTCCCTTGCATCCTTCCCCTTCGGCCCATCCCTGGCCGCTTTCGATGGCCGCGCCCCGCTTGCATCGTGTCGACACAGCCTTCCAAGACCCATGCATTCTTACCGCGCATCCTTGTGATACGGGTTGGCTGTAACACATTGTGAGCGTCTTCTTCTTCTTCTTCGGCGGTTTTGACATTTGCCGGAAGGGGGGAGGGCCTCGCTCCAGACCTCTGCGGAGTGCCACTGTTTGCAGCAGTGCGTCCTATAGGGGAGACCCCACCTCCTCGGAACAGGCGCCAAAAACAGCCAAGTGCTATTCCATGGGGGGGAGGGTGCGAGGGCCCGCGCCGATCGGCAAAACAAGGAATAAGAAAACGATCAAGGTGTTTGGGTGTTTCGGCCCAAAGGATGATGTTCCAACCGACTGTAGCTTTCATCACCAGGAAGAAGTTCGAGCACCAAGAAAGTACCGAAACTGGAGGGTTTTCGCGTGTCGGGCCCTAGGAGGCGATACTCGTTCGACACCGTTTCGATACCTTTTTGGGTGCTCGAAGTTATTTCTGGGACGTGGTCCTCCAGTACGATGGGAGCAACATTTCTGGACGCCCGAAATGGGTAGGGAAAGAATGGGTACAATGCCCAACAGCAGTTCCTGTTCATTTTGAACAGGATTCGCTGTCCACGCCGCCGCGGCCTGTGTCCGTTCGAGACAGAGGGCCACCTGCCCAACAGCGGCCGCTGTTGGTTTGGGACAACACTTGCTGTTGGGCATTGTACCCATTGTTTCGGTACCCATTTCGGGCGTCCAAAAAAACCAAAGCTTCCCGGAACACACTCGGAGCGTCCCGGAACGCTCTCAGAGGCGGCCGCGGTGCCCGCCAGCAGGCCCCCCAAGGAGACCCCAGCACGCCCCCAGAGGCCCCCAAGAGGCACCTCGCTCTCCTCCTCCGCCTCCGCCTCCGCCTCCTCCTCCGCCTCCTCCTCCTCGACCCCGCACGGCCCTCCTCGATCCTCCTCCCCGATCCTCGATCCTCCCCGGTCCTCCCCGATCCTCCCCGATCCTCCACGACGAGGGGGGGGGGGGGGCGAGCACCCGACGCGGCGGCGGTCGGGCCGCGGCCGCCGCGGCAGGCGGCGGCCGCGGCTGGGCGTATTCGGAGGGGGGGGATTGGGGGGGGGGGGGCGGCCTCCATCGGGGGCGGAAAAGAGGGGGGTGATGACTAGGGGGGGGTGGATATCATGGCGGGGGCCATGATATTTCCCCAGATGTCATGGCGCCTCTTCTTGTTTCATTACGTCCCTGCCCCCCCCCGCTTGGCCGCGCACATGCCGCCGGTCATGATTTGCACCCCCCCCTCTTGAACACCCCCCTCTTGGCCGCTCCCGACTCCAGGACCTCCGGCTCTCCGAGATTCCCGATTTCCCTTAAGTCGGGCCTTTCCCTCTACAGGAGGAATTTCCAAAAGCAGTCAAAAAATAGTCGGGGGACGATGTCCCAGCCATGTGTAAACATGTTGTTGAAAATTTGTTTGGTATGTTTGATGTTTCGTCCAAAATCCCATTGTAGGAGGACGTGCCCGACCTAAGTCTTCCCCTCGCCCGGATTTCTCCTCGTCTGCGTTTCGTCTTGGTGTTTCGATTTGGCGTTGTGATTCGATGTTTTCGGGGCAGGCACGGCCTTACCCATCGGCCACTTGAAGCGCCTTCCTGCTTCAATGATCGAGTGGCTTCGCCTTTCCCTCCCTCCTTAGGGGGCGGACGGAACCCAATCTACGTTCAACGCCTTCACGTCTCTACCTGCTTCTTCCAACCGACGGGTAGGATCTCGAGGGAGAGGGCTGCACGGCTACGACTCCGGTCCTCGTGGTGCTGCCTCGCGCGATCGGTGGCTGCAGGGGCCGGGCTGGCCTTGTCTCGGGGCCCTGGCCAGCGGCTTTGGTGCGCGGAGCATGGTATGTGCGCCCTCCTCCCAAGCGCGAGGTACAGTGAAGACCCATTCCAAGAAGCACCATACTTGCCTCCAGGGTGCCCTGGGCGTCTTGGGCTTCGATGGTTTTGCGATGGATGGCATGTGCAACCTCCCAGGGCTCGTTTCGATCCCTCCGATTCGATTCGATCCGACTTCAATGGCTTCCGATTCCGATTCGATTTTGACTTGGGATTCCGATTTGGGCTCCGATTTCTCATTGGAGGCATACTAGCCTGCCGATGTCTACCGATTAAACTTTTCTCGACTCGGCTGCTGATTTCCGCCGATCTGATTCATTTCGATTGCCGATCCGACGTATCGCTTCGATGATGGGCTCTCCTGCCCTCCTCCCAAGCGCTATGTACAGTCGGGAGACGAAAAGATACTGATGCCGCTTCCTACCCTGTCCTCGTGTTCGCCTGCTTGGCCCTCGGGGGAGTCCCGCGTCAAGGGGTGCGGGTCGTACCCTCTGTCTCGGATGGGTCTAGTCCTCCCAGATGGGGTCCGAGCAGATGGGGTCGGAGGATCGCGCCGCATCGCCGATGCATCGACGATGCGGCTCGATGCGGAGCCCGATTTTCTCCACGTTGGCGTCGCCGAGGCATCGCCGGTTCATCGCCGATGCGTCGGCGATGTATCGCCGAGGCCCCACCTAGGAGGCCTCCAGCCCCGCCGCCGCCTCCAGTCGCGAGACTTCATCCTCAAGCTGATCCAGGTGGAGCCGGCGAAGCGCATGACGCCCCTGGAGGCGGCGGCTCGCCGGGAGCTCCGCCCCAGCCTCCGCCACCGTCGCCGCCTCAGGGATTCGGCGTGCGGTCCGTACCCTCGATGCTGCCTCCTCCTCCTCCTCCTCCTCCTCCTCCTCCTCCTCCTCCTCCTCCTCCTCCTCCTCCTCCTCCTCCTCCTCCTCCTCCTCCTCCTCCTCCTCCTCCTCCTCCTCCCTGCCCCCCAACTCTGGCCGACGGGGGGTGGGGGGGGCAGAGCAGGGACGGGAAGCTCGGCTGGCCGAGGCTCGATCTTTCTCTTCCCCTCTCTCCGCCCCCCCGTGGAGCCTTGGCGTGGGCAGGGATATGGACAAGACGTCGATCGCCTGTCGTCGTTGGTCGGCTCGAAGGCGGTTGACCTCACCCTCCACAGGGGCCTCACCTCGGTGCCCCCACCCAGCAGGGCAGAGGCGAGGGTGAAGCTGGGTCGCCAGAAGGTCGCCTGCCCAACAGCGGCCGCTGTCGATGCTGGACACGTGTGTCGGTGGGCACTGTGCAAGTGTTTGCTCGCACCCATACCGCCATGGCGCCGAAATAGGGTTAAGTCGGGCACGCCCCTCTACAGGAGGAATATTCAAACATAGTAAAACAATAGTTTGTGGACGATGTTTTAATCATGTGTTAGCATGTGTTGTGTATGGTCTGAATATTTTTGTTCGTCCACAATCTGCCCGACCTAAAACTAGGACAGCTGAATGTAGGAGACATGCCCGACCTAAAAATAGGACAGCTGAATGTATGTAGCTTTTCCGTCTAAGGAGGGCATGCCCGTCCAGTTCGGATTCTGAAGGGGCTCGGTGGTCCCTTGGGTCTGCCTGCGTCACCTCGCAGGTCTGCACGGAAGTCCGTTCCTTATAGGCTTCAGCAGAAGGAGGGGTAATTTTCGCAACGAGGGGCACCAGAGAGGGAACTCCTCCCAAACGGGGCTCGGCCGTTCTTCAGGAATGTATGGCTCGACCTCGGCAACAAGACGGGTTTCGTCTCTCGTTTAGGGCTCCTTCTCGCAGGGCCGTCGTTGCATCGGGCGTGCCAAACTCTCTGGCCTCCGGGGGCCGTCCTTGGGCCCCGTGCAAGGCGCATCCTCCACTCCTCCTCCTCCTCCTCCCCCTCCCCATCCCCCTCCTCCTCGGTCAGGAGACTGATCCGTGGCGAAGGAGTCGAGACTTCTTGGCACCGCGGCGTGCAGTGGAGCCCGTCGCGGGTCCGGGAGGCCGGCCCCCAGAGGCGGAGATCGCGGCAGAGCGCCGAGAGATCCAGCAAGGCCACGGCGCAGGAGGGCCGGCTCTCCGGAGATCGGCTCTGCGGAGGCTCCTGGAAGCCATCACGAGGGTTTCGGGAAGGGGCTCGCAACCTGGGGTGCATCTCCTGGACGCTGAGGGCAGCATCGGCGCTGGCACATCCGTGGTCGAGAACTGGCCTAATTCGGCATCGTCGCCCTCGAGCGCCCTCGAGCGCCCTCGAGCGTCGCCGCGAGCACGTGGTCTACTCGTGTCCTACCCTACCCCCCCGCGAAAATGTGCTCTAAATTCGTGTCGCACCCATGTTTTTGGGTGTTTTGTTTGTTTTGTTTTTGCAACGCGTGCCCACACTAATGCCCTGCAATCGGGCCTAATCCTGGGCGCAATCTGGACCAGTCTGGCCCAATGTCCCCCCGACTCGGGTTCAACACAACCGTTACCACGAAGACCTCCCGTGAGCTGCATCTCAGCAAAATTTGATGGAGGCCAGGTTGCTTCCATGAGGGGCAGCGATAGGGGGGGGGGGATATGCATAGGGGGGGGCGCATCGATCTCCAATCGCCCACTGATCGCGGATAGGGGATCTGATAGCACCACCCTGCCAAGGAACAGGCGGATTCGCTATCGGGGTCCTATCACCGATCTACAGTCAGCCCGCACAGGAAGGATGGGCAACCTTCCAAAGTGTACCTTGCTTCCTTGCCTCATCGGTCCATCCTTGGCCACTTTCGTTGGCCGCGCCCCGCTCGAAAAGCTTCGAAATTGGCGTCCAATGCCTTTGCATCCTTACCGCGCATCCTTATGATACGGGTCGACTGTATCGGCGATATGTCGCTGATTCCAGGTCGATGTTCCCCCCTGTGCAAGTCCCCTCCTTCGGCCACGCGCAGAGGTGGGGAGGGTGGAGGACTTCTTAGAAGCACCCCTGTTTCTTAGAAGGCGCGGGCCTTCTCTATACATGTAAGGCCGGCGCCTTCTAAGAAGCAGCCCCCTTCTGAGAAGCCTCCCTCCCCCAGATTTGCTCCAACGGTTTATACATGGCAGGGTAATCGTGAACGGTTTGTCTGCTCTAGGCTGTCCTCATAGGATCGTTTCAGTTTTAGGTGAGCGTGCCGATCGCCGAGGATGCGGTGACATCAGCCCGGCCAGCCAGTCGAGCACGGTCGTTCTCTGTCGTGGACGGGTATACCCCCCCTTATGAGGGGAAACGGAAAGGGAAACGAAGCAACCATCTCCCCCACCCCCCTGCGCGCGCCGCCAATCCCCCCCCTATCGTCGCCCCTCCTTGGCATCGCTCGGACGTGTGCATGTTTCTTTCGGCGAGGACCATCGAGGAGCATCCTTGATCATTTGGGGGAAAAACCACACACGAATCCAAAAAAACACAGGAAATGGACGTCCGAGCAATGGCGAGCCTCCTCCCGGCTTCCCGGCGAACCCGGGGCCTCGGGGCACCCCGCCAGTCCTTGCTCTCAGGGCCCAGCTCGCCGCTCGGGTGGGCGCCGCGGGCCTACCCCGCGCCCCTCGGGCCCACCTGCGCCGGCGCCCGACGGTGCACTTCGGTCGGGCATGTCCCTCTGCAGGAGGCATCGCCAAGAAGGCTCACAACAAATGTTTTGGAAACGATGTTCGACTACCATGTTTGAGCATGTTTGGAATTACTTTTAGGTTTTCTTCCACAATCCGCAAGTGGGAGGACATGCTCGACCTCAAGGTACACCGCGATCCTCGAGCGAGCTCCGATCCTGGAGTCTCCTGACCTCTATCCGTTCCAGGTTTCTCGGAGGATGAAAACAGGTAGCCATACCGCTACCCTTCGCCCGGTTTCCCTGTTTGGGGGCCTTCTTGGAGGCCCTCGTCGCCACCGCTGGATTCGTCTCGAAATCCTGGTCAGAACGCACCTTGGTAGAGGTACGGGAGCAGCGGTATCGGTAATTTCCTGTTGTTTTCCATCTCTTCGAGCTTCTGCCCTCGAGTCCGCCGTCCTCGATCTGCGGCCCTCGATCCCAGATCTCGTGATACTATCGGGGCCTCGCAAAGGGGGGTGCCACAGGGGGGGGTAGTTCGGTCCGTTGGCACATCGAACCGCAGAACCACGATGCAAAAGAGGTCTCTGGCCGCCGCCGGAACCCGAGAGTTGTCGACAACCGGGGCGCGCGGGGGGGCATCGTTTCTTGGAAATTCGATGCACCCGCGGATGGAGCTCACCCCCCCTCAGGGTCCCCCCCTCCTCTGGTGGATCCCGATGCTAGCCTCGAGCCCTCTGGCCTCGACCCTCGATCCGTTTCAGCCCACCACCCTCGAGCCACGAGCCTCGCTGGACGATCGTGGACCCCAGCCTTCCACGACCCTCGAGCCCTCGCACCGTCCAGGGTGCGCCGTCTGGTCGCCGCGCCGCCGCCGTAGCGCTCCCCATCGCCGCCGCCGTCGTCGTCGCCGCCGCCGCCGCCGGCGTCGCCGTCGTTGCCGCCGCCGCCGTCGCGGCAAGAATCAGCCACGCGCAGAGGGGGATGGGGGGAGGGGGGAGGGCTTCTTAGAAGCACCCCTGCTTCTTAGAAGGCGCGGGCCTTGTCTATAGATGTAAGGCCGGCGCCTTCTAAGAAGCAGGGGTGCTTCTAAGAAGCCCTCCCCCCTCCCTCCACCCCCTTGTGCTCGCCGCCAAAAGAAGCGGGACGAAGGGCTCCTGCCAAGTTCCCGTCTCTCGGGGCCCCTCGCTGGGCCCCAGGGCCGTCGAGAAACTGCCCGGGGTGAGACCCAGTCTCGGGGAAAGGGTCGAGAGCTCCAGGGGTCCACGTCGCGAAAAAGTGACGCCGCCAGGGATCTGGGTCGCTGTTGTCGTCGTCGTCACCGCCGTCGTCGCCGCCGCCGCCGTCGAGTCGTGGTGCCCGCCGTCGTCCTCCTCGTCGCCCTCGTCTTCGTCGTCGCCGCCGTCGCCCTCCTCCTCCTCCATTTTCGTTTTCCGCATGATTAAGCAGCTCCTTCGCAAGAGGAGCAGTCACCGCTACTGCTGCCCTATCCTTGTTTTCTCTGCCTCGGGCCTCCCCTGGAGTGCCTCTGTAGCCACGGTTTGATTCGCCTCGGAATTGTGTTCCGAACGCACCCCTGGAGAGGACCTAGAAGTAGCGGTATCTCCGTGCTCCCTCATTGTAATTCGCGTTTCGATTGCCCCCCACGCTAGAGCTGATTGCCTCTTCCGCGCCGCCAACGAAAAAGTGTTCCAACACTGTTGACCTCCATCTTCGCGTACAGGGCGGAGGGAGATATGGGAAGTCAGGAGCAGTGGCCTCTTCAAGAAATTGGTTTCCTCACTCTCGAAGGCGAGGGGGTGAGGGCATAAACGCCCCCATCCCAACGTCTGGCACCGTCGACGCTTACATGATGGCCCTTCTTGGACCCAGCTGCCAAGGGCACTGGAGGGGAATTCCGCCAGTCGGCGGCAGGCCGGTGGGGGAAGTGAGAAGGGGCTGGCCTTCTCAGAAGGCTTGGAAGCCTTCAGAGACGTTTCCTAAGCCTTCCCCGAAGACACATAACATGTTTCAGCAGGCGCGAGGGTTTCTCAGACATCCCGCTGCCTTCTTAGAAGGCCTTGTCCTTGTCATGTCCTCCCTCGCTCGCCGCCGACCTAGCCTTGCTGCCTTCGGCGCAGGTGAGGGCTATCATTGAGGATCAAAGAAGCCCCCATGAAGGCGTGGCCTCACTGAGGCCCCC